TGTTTGTGTTTCCATATGACTTCCTGTGTTGTTTTTTCCAGGTCTGAGAAGAATGTTGCTGGTAATTTGATGGGTATTGCATTGAATTTAAAGGTTAACTCCAAATGGATCAGAGACCTAAATGTAAAACCTCAAACCATAAGAACCTTAGAAAAGGAAGGAAATACCCTCATGGAAATCGGAACTGGCATCCAATTCCTGAACAAAACCCGAAACCCACAGGTCATAAGAGAGAAGATAGACAAGTGGGATCTTATTAAACTGACAAGTTTCTGCAAAGCCAAAGAAATCATCAAGAGAGCAGGGAGACAGCCTACAGACTGGGGAAAAGTATTTGCCAACTCCAGGTCTGACAAAGGCTTAACATCCTGGATCTACAAGGAACTCGAATGTGCTGAAAAGAAAAAAACAAACAACTCCATTATAAAATGGGCAAAAGATATGAACAGACATTTCACAAAAGAAGACATCTGAGCAGCCAACAAACACATGAAGAAATGCTCAACCTCACTAATCATCAGGGAGATGCAAATCAAAACCACACTGAGATACCACCTAACTCCAGTCAGAATGGCATTATCAACAACTCAAAAAATAACAGCTGCTCGAGAGGGTGTGGTGAAAAGGGAACACTTCTACACTGTTGGTGGGAGTGTAAACTAGTGCAACATCTGTGGAAAGCAGTGTGGCAATTCCTAAAAGCTCTAAAAATCAACCTTCCATATGACCCGCAATCCCCCTATTGGTAATATACCCTGAAGACCTCAAATCACTTTATAAAAAAGATACCTGCACACGTATGTTTATCGCAGCATTGTTCACAATAGCAAGAACCTGGAAACAACCATGCTGCCCATGAAAAGAGGACTGGATTAAAAAAATGTGGTACATATACACGATGGAATACTACGCAGCCATAAAAAAGAACAAAATCATGAATTTCACAGTAACCTGGATGGAACTAGAGTCTATAATACTGAGTGACCTCTCACAGAAACAAAGATCCGAGTATCACATGTTCTCACTCATATAATGAACCTTGAACATTCAATGTAATACTATAAGAAAATGACTGACGGTACTGGGAAACTATGGAGGGGAGAGGGATGGGATTAACAGTCGCAAATATCTGTCTGGGGATGGGATGAGGAAACACCTCTTATCAACAGGGTGCCTGAATGAAACGTAATTGTACACCTAACCCTTAACTGTACCCCACAAAATCATAATAAAAAATATTGATTAAAAAAAAAAAGAACACCTAGAACTAATAGATGAGTTGAACAAAGTAATTGAATAAAAAATCCAGTTGCATTTCTAGATTCCTGGAAAATAAAATACAAATGCTATGTATAATGAAATAAACAAGTGAATGAATTTAATGAAAGAGTAAAATGAAAATTATAAAACATTAATAAAAGAAATTAGGTAGGACCTAAATAATGGAAAGCTATATTTATGTTTCTAAATTATCCATATGTTAAAATATCAATGGTCCCAATTTGATCTATAAACTCTCTAAATCCCAATCAAATTACCAGGAACCTGTTGTGGTAGAAGCTGAGAAGCTTATTTTACAATTTCTATGGAACAGTAAAGTCCTAGAGTAAGCTTGAAAAAAAAAACAGGAGAGAGGAGAGTTGGAGGACTTGCATTTTCAGATCTCAAGACTTGTATATGAAATCTTAGTAAAAGAAAAGGGTCTATTGGCATAGGATTTTTAAAAGGTCATTAAACAGAATCAATTCTAGGAATAGACCAGCAGATATATAATCACTTCGTTTTCTCCAAAGGTGCCATTGCAATTCAGTGAGAAGAAGGATTGTCTTTTCTTTTTCTTTTTCACTGAATCAGAAATAATCTATTTTTTTTATTTTTTATATTTTATTTTAAAGATGTGGGGCACAAGTGAGGATTAGGTATATAAGTGGTCTATGTACAGGTGACACTGGTCATCACTTCACCTGGTTCAGAATCAGGTACCCATATTGACGTTATGTCTTTTCCCCTTCCTTGGTAGTGTCCGACTGCTGCCAATCCATTTCTTTTAGTATTATGATAAATGTTCAGGATCCATTTATGAATGAGAACATGTGGCATTCAGTTCTTTGTTTTTGTGGCAGTTCACTGAGTATGATGAACTCTAAATCCATCCAAGTTGCTGCAAGGTCCATAATTTTGTCCTTCTTTATGACTGTGTAATATTCCATTGTGCATATGTACCACATTTTTTATCCAGTCCACTTTCAATGGGCAACATGGTTGGTTCCATGTTTTTGCTATTGTGAATAGTGCTTCAATAAATATGCATGAGCAGGAATCTTTTTTGTAGAATAATTTGAGTTCCTCTGGGTATATTCCCAGGAGGGGGATTGTTGGGTCATATGGAAGGTCAATT